AATCATTGGGTTTTCATGCAAACGCATATCAAAAATACACACGCATCTAAACAAGCAATACATGTGCCTTTACATGCTCTTATATACTCACACATGCGCATACATCTACACAGTGGCGTCTAAGGGAGGGTATTATCCTATTTATCCTTAGAGCACTTAAACCCTATATGTGCTTAATATTCATATTTACATGGCTACGTACTATCACTATACACACACACACACACACACACACACACACACACACACACACACACACATATATATATATATATATATGTGTGTGTGTGTGTGTGTGTGTGTGTGTGTGTGTGTGTGTGTGTGTGTGTGTGTGTGTGTGTGTGTGTGTGTGTGTGTGCACATAAATGTATCCTTTAATGTACAATCCTCTGCTACTGTAAAATACACCATATCAAGAATTTTATTTCAAGACTTAGCTACAGAAACTGGAATTTATGACTTAACTTCGGGCTAGGTGTTAATTCCAGCTTGAATTTCAGTTTGAGATTCAGCTCAAGTCACCATATCAGCTTTCGTTTAACTTAATCTCTATTTCTAATTTAATTCTAGTTTCTGATTCACTTCCTTCACGATATCATTTTCAGCTTTAATTTTCAGCTCTAATTTTCCTTTCGGCATTCATCTTCAGCTCCTATTCATCTCCCTTTATGCGTATTTATCTTACTATATCTTTCTATACTTTATTTCTTATTTGTATTTACCTTCCTTTATCTCTCTCCACATTTACTTCATCTCCTTTCATCTTAATCTGTCTCTTATTTCCTCACGTTATTTCATTAATCTTATTCTATCTCCCCTTCCTTTATCACTCTTTGCCTTACTTTCTCAATCGTACTTTCTCTCTATTTTCCTTCCTTTATCTCTCTTGCCCTTTATCTCTCCTCATTTCTCTCTCTTTACTTTACCTTGCTTTATCTTCATAGAACTTTGTCACTCTTTACTTTATCTATTTTTTTTTACCTTACACTGTCTTTACTTGACTGTATTTTTTCCTTGATTTATCTTCATTTCTTCCCTTTTTACACCTCATTTTCTTCTATTTCCTTTTAATTCATCTTTATGTATCTTTATCTCTATTTAAATAATTAATTTCCCTTTCTTTTATATTAGTTTCATTTTGACTTTTTTTTTTCTCTTTACCTCATTTATCTTCCCTTGTTTTACTTCCATGTCACTTCTTCTCTTTACTTCATTTTCTTCGATTTTCCTTTCTTCATCTATCTTTACCCCATTTTCTTTTATTTTATTCTTATTATCTCTCTTCACAACCTTTTCTTCTCTTCGCCTTACATCATCTTAACTCCATTTTCTTCTATTATCCTTTCTTTTTCTCTCTTCACCGTTTTTTTCTATTTTCCTCTTTTAATCTCTCTTCTAAATCCTTTGTCTTCTCCTCATTTTCTTCTATTTCCCTCTATTTATCTCTCCTCATCTTATTTCTTCTCTTCACCTTACGCTATCTTTACCTCATTTCCTTCTGTCTACCTTTCTTTACCCCTCTTCACTTCATTTTCTTCTGTTTCCTATATTTATCTCTCTTCTCCTTCTATTATTTTCACGTTATTTTCTTCTAATTTTCTTCTATCTACCTTTCTTTATCTCTCTTCACTTTATTTTCTTCTGTTTCCTCCATTTATCTATCTTCACCTTATTTCTTCTCTTACACTTACACTGTCTTCACCTCATTTTCTTCTATCTACCTTTCTTTATCTATCTTCACCTCACTTTATTCTATTTACCTTTCTTTATCTGTCTTCACCTCATTTTATTCTATTTACCTTTCTTTATCTATCTTCACCTCTACTTTCTTCTATCTACCTTCACCTCATATTTTTTCTATTTCCTCTATTTATCTCCCTTCTCCTTATTTCCTTTATTTATCTCCCTTCTCCTTATTTTCTCTTTTCACCTTTCTTTGTCGCGCTGCCGGATGCTGCTCGCGACTGGTAAGAACAACAGCAGGATGACTCGTACTGTTTTTCTGTTTTCTCTGTTAACACGTTGCCGTTGATTTCTTGTTTTGATTTTCAAGGTTGATTTTCTCCTTTTTCGTTTTCTATTCCGTCATCTTATTCCTTTGTCTACTATTTTTTTTCTCTATTTGTTTTCGTCTGCTTTTTTTCTGTGTCTTCTCTTCTTCTTCACCTTGTTTTTATTACTCTTTAACGTTTTGTTTTGTTTTTCCTCCTTTTTCTAATAAAAAGTTTGATATTATTATTATCATCATTACTCTATTATTATCATGACTACATCTATTTCTTCCTTCATCATCTCCTTCTACTTCAAATCTTTCGTTCTTTTCTCTCTTCTGTCTTCTGCATCTCCTTGTCCTTCTTCCCTTCATTTCACACTCTATTCCTTTCTGCCCCCAGCTCCACCCATGTCCAAAACCAGTCTGCTAAGAAGCAAAAATCCCCCCAAAAGACAAGCAGAAGCCAGACGCTGCCGGGAATTCCAACGACACCCAAAGAACTTGATTTCTGGGACGTTTTTGGTTCAAGGTAATCAAGTAAAGAATGAAAATGCCGACAAATCGATCTGAGGCCGATATGTTTACTGCACCTTTAAGGGCTTCGTTTTTTGTGTTCTCTTAAGTCTTCAGTAAATACATTTCTTCCCTCTGTCTTTGTTTCCGTTGATCTATTTGTCGCTTGGTTTATTTCATTGCGTATAATTCATCATTTCCATTTTTTAAAATTATCCTCCCTTCATATATTAATTGTGCATTTCTCTTTCTCGTTTTGCTCTATCATTTCTATATTTTTCTCTCTCTGTCTGCGTCTTTTTTTCTTCTTCTCTATGTGACTGCGCGCGCGCGTGTGTGTGCGTGTGCGGAGCTAGAGCCCCAATGGCAGTCTGTCGTTGACCTTAACAGCTTGTTTTCCATAGCACCTTGCTCCGACCAGCATCCTAGAGAGGAAACTTAATTGCCATTGCAAAGCAACGACACAACTACATGAAGTGGCAGTTATTACTTATAAGCCTCAGTTTCGGTTGGCTCATAGCGAGGCGTTAGGGTTCACTTGAGTATCGGCAAGTATATATGAATATATATATATATATATATATATATATATATATATATATATATATATATATATATGTTCCCCGGTCTCCCTTCTTCTTCTATTACTCTCTCCTACTCTCTCTCTTTCCAGTTTTCAACTCTCCTTCTCCTACTCCTTTTCGCCCACCAGAAAATTATGCTTTGTTCTGTAAAAGCCAAAATCTTCAAACCCTGTGACGTCAGAGGTACCTTCGTGACGTGTGCGTGAAGGAGCGGGAAATTCGAGTGTTGTCTCAAGTCCCTGCTGCTGCTCCTCTTTAGCGACCTTGGGCTGTCCTGCAGGGTATATAACCTCCATCCAAAGGAAACGACCTCACACTGTCCTGCCGAGGATCAGGGTGTTTCAGCTGTCCTTCAGTGAGAAAAGAGTTCGGTGGTTTTCGGTGAGGATGCGTTGATATCTTCTCTGTGCTTCTTGCAAGGAACTGGAAATGCTGACCAGATGACGTATAACTACTTGATATGAATAAATATAGATAAACCACTATACATATATTTATAGACAGATAGATAGATTTAGAGAGCAATTGAGAGAGAGGGTGAGAGGAAAGGAGGGCGAGCGAGAGAGGGGGGAGGGGGGAATTAAAGATAATCAACTCATTTACAAGCTCAAATACTCACTTCACCTCTTTCCCACCAGAACGCAGAACTAAGGAACCATGTATAGGAACTTGGCGATCCTGGCCGTGGCTTCCCTGTTGGCCCTGAGCGCCATCTCGCCGCCGGAGACCGAGGCCGCCGCCGCCGCCGCGCCCGAGCCCTGTTGTGGTCGCTTCGCTGCCGGGGCGCTCGGCTTTGCTGGGGTGAGTTCGACTCGGAGTTCGGAGCAAATATTTATTGTTTTTACCACTTAGCGTATGCTGAACAGTTCTGCATTGAGATCTTGAAATCATATCCTTTGATTCTGACTATAAATTACTAGGAGTTAATTCACGACACTGAATATTTTGTCTCGCCTTACAGTAAGCAATTTACATTTGTTTGCCCCAGTTTGTCTTGTGTCTAAAAAGGCCTCGAAGCTCTTGTTGGCTTCATGCAGCTTTTATGCGTTACTGTCTGTCTTTCACCGATAACATTTACATAACATAACTATGTACACGAACGTCTAATATAAACGACATGCATAACATGATCTCAAATGCATGTTAATCTCATGAAATAGCACCAACATACAAATGTATTTCAAATGTATGTAAGCATAATCTAAATTTCCTCTTTAGGGTTACCTCGTAGGTCACCACCGCCATGGATGCGGAGGGTGTGGAGGAGGATGTGGATGGTGCGGAGGAGGATGGTATGGGCGCAAGAGGAGGAGTCTCGACGAGGTGATGGATGAGGACACCTTGGAGGAGATGTACTGGAAGGTAAGGTGTGTGTGTGTGTGTGTGTGTGTGTGTGTGTGTGTGTGTGTGTGTGTGTGTGTGTGTGTGTGTGTGTGTGTGTGTATGTGTGTGTGTGTGATCCGTGATTTTTCTATGTTTGTATATTACCGGTTTGGCGAACTAGAAGAAAATCTAGAAAAGAAAGTATAACAAAATTTGTTTGAACTATTTTCCTCATTTACACATACAATCACCAGCAAATCTGCTAAGTACTTCCGAGAATAGAAAGCGCTTTTCTCAGAAGATAACTTCCCTGTTCCGTCCAGATCGCATCGAAGGACAGCGACCAGTGCGGCCTCCGCCTGGTGTGCGAGCTGGCGCAGAAGGACCCGCGGGAGCTGGAGGACGACGAGATCGTGTTCCTGCTGCCTTACAGGTAATTGGAAAGGGTCGGCATTTAGCAAAGATCGAAGTAAATGACCTGCGAGGAGTAGCTTGAGCGACTTTCGAAATCTAAAAATGAAGATAATAGTCAATTATCTACTTTTAGGTAAGCAAGACATGGCTAAAGAAACTCAAATTAAGCAGAT